AGGCCGGGTCTGTGGGTGAGGCCGGGTCTCTGCGAGCAGGGGCGCGGGAAGCGGTGAGGAGGCCCTGACTTGAGCACCTGTAGTCTGACCCTGGTGGCAGAGGAGGGGCCCCACGAGGGAGGGACCCCACGAGGGCTGCAGCGCTGGTTCTGCGATGGGCGGCTGAGAGGCCCAGCACAGCCGGAACGTGGAGGGGGTCTGGCGGGAGTGGGGGCCACCTGAGAACCTCCCTGGCTCCCGGACCCTCCGTGTTCTCAGCTCCAAGGCGCAGGCCGGTGCCCCCTCTTCCCAAGGCCTCAACTCACCCTTTAATCTTCAGGGCACCTCCCCGCCCTGCTTTCCTGTGGGTGGGGCCTGGAGTGAGGGGAAGGGTGTGGGGGAGTGACAGGGGCAGAGGGGAGGGGCAGCAGGGGCCCCGTTTGTGCCTCTGCCACCTGGTCTAGGAGGGGCGACACCCAGGAGTCCGTCCACCTTTAAAAGCCACGCGGCTGAGCCACAGGGAGAGACGCTTCCTCTCGGGCTCGCGACACCCCGGCTCCAGCGGCAGATGTGGAGCCACTGCCCCCCCCCCCTCACAGGGGACTTTCATCTCCCCGGGCGCCCGGCCCCCAGGCAACCAGTCAGAGCTGCAGGCCAGGCCCTGGCGCCTGAGGTCACTGCCCGCCTGTCCCTTTCTCACTCGGCCTGTGGACACAAAACACGGGGCCCAAGCAGGACTTTATAGCTGGTTCTCATTTCTCACAAACTAGACGCTGGGCTGCACCCCGGCCTCTCCCCGGCCGATGCCTGCAGCTTACTGTCCGGTCAGAGGCCTGGGCTACAGTGGACACTCGCTGTGCAAGCGGACACTGAGGGAAGAATGGTTTCCCGGGGAGCCCGTGTCCGAGTCCCGAGCTCCGGGGACGGCCCAGGGCGATCTCCCGAGAGGGTGTACGGGAAGGGTTGCCGGATTCAGGGAGCACTGCCATCCTGCCCAACCCGGGGCTGGAGGAACCCCGGCTCATGCGGGGGGAGGCGGGCAGCGTGCTCCTCAGGAGGGGGACGGAGACCGAGCTCGCTGCCCACCCTGGGCCTTTGCAGGGCACCTCCCCCGAGAAGCGCCATTCCTTGCCCTTCCCGGCCTCCTGGGATCCTGCAGGGCTCAGCTGCCCGCCCCCACCCTCCCATGGCCGCTCCACGCCGCCTGGCTTCCCGATTCTCTAAGGACTCGGCTCCTGATCGCCCACACACACTGCCCCCAGAACCCGGTGGGGCGCCCGCACCTGTGGATCCCCCAAATGTTCGCTGTTCTGAAGGGGGATCGCTTTCCCCGTGCGGCCGGGGAGGACCCGCAGGCGGGGTCTGAACAGTCGGGTGCGTGGGCACTGGCAGTTCCGTGCGGGCCCTCGGGTACCTCTGCCCAGGCGACGAGTGTGCGAGGCGGACGGACGGTGGCCGGTGTGGAGGGGTGAGCGTCCCATCTTCACCCACATACTTTTTGGATGTTAACAGACCCCTATTATGATCCATCTTGGGGAGAAATGTTTTGAACCCTGAGTCCACTCACACGCCGTCAATGGAGCAATAACGTAGCTACAGCCCCATGAGCTAGTGAACCGCTAGCTGAGAGGCAGTTCTGTTCAAGGCCAGGACCGGGAGGGGCCGCAGTTTGCATACGGACCAGGGAGAGAGAGGGAGGCCGCTGGAGGGCGCAGGGAGGGTGTGAAGTCTGTGCTTCAGGGTCACGGGCCTCACCCACACGTGGGCAGCAGCCACCTGCTGGCCGTCTGTGTGGCTCCGTCACACCGCCAGGTCCCAGCAAGAACACAGAGACGTCCGTTCAGCTTTCATAGGAAGAATTTAATTATCTATACACGTAACTATTCCAAAGTTGAGTTACAGTTGTTAAAGCCGCAGGCTTATATATTTATATATTTTACATTCGTATCCATGGAAATACTGAAGCGCAGGGGAGCGCGGAGGAGCGGTCCTGCAGCCATGTGAGCGAGGGAGGGCTCTACGCAGCCAGCACAGTCTCCAAGGGAGACACACAAACAGGTCGCTACGGTTAACAAGTCGCTGTTAGAACTGCTAGATTGTGCTTGGGCTCCCCGCCCGTGCTGCGGGCTGTCGGCACGGGCACTTATGGAGAGCTTCCCACTAGTGTTTAGAGACACACAGGGCTTCAGCTACACCTACCACAGGCGCGGACCGTGCGCCCGTCCTCTACGCTGTAGAAATCCACAGTCTAGTTAAAAAATGTAAACATTGGAAATTAATTGCAGGGAGACGTCTATACATTCTTTCTTGTCAAGAAAATTACTTGTTCAAAGTAAGTCATTCCATGAAAAGTAACTGGGAGAAAACGCCATGTAACAGACACGAAGAGATTGTGTATATACTGTTGCTCGTGACAACCTCGATGGCATTGTCTACTGATTATGGTATGAAAACACGCAAAGTTTAAAACCCAAAACAGAAAACACCAACTCAACCGGTAAATCTGAGACCGAACAAAAGCCCAGGTGCTTCTCATGTGGCTACAAGGTCACTGTGCAAAATAAAACCAATGCAATTGGACTAGCGCATCGTACAAGGGAATAACGTTAGCCATGGAAGGAACCACGTCCTTATGTACAGGATGTTGTTACATGCTCACAAGGTACATCTGGAACACACAGACAAGCACAACACTTCTGTTTAATCGCTGGTTCCACGCGTCTGAGACACACTGACCCCCTCTGCGCTTCTCCCGCAGGGACCCCGCCCGCCCCGTGGAGCTGGTCACACTGGGCGAGTCTCAGATTCACGGACATCTGGAACATTTTTAACAGCACATGCAGCATTCCTTGATAGTGGGTCTTTTTGCAAAACCAAAATAGCAAAGGAGTAATTTCTTTATTTATTTTATTAAAAGGCTAAAATATATATTTAAAAATAATTTTAAAACTATTGAAAGCACCTGTGCAAAGGTGGGGGGCAGTCGATTTGAGTCACTAGGAAAGCCACAAAAGGACCCACTACCCTGTGTGTTTGTAATTTTTGCTTCTATCTCTGCAAGTAGTAACTCCACGTTGCCATCACATGCAACTAAGGTCAAATGAGGTAAACTGCTCTGCAGTGAGTTCTTCTACTCAGAAGGCAGTAGGTGATCATGCTGGAAGTCACATGATCAAGGCTGCATCTCCCATCATCCCTCTGGGCAGTGATATGGGATAGTGGGTCTCTTTGAGGACTTTCAAGCCTGAGGGGGGGATGGACAACATATGATTCCTAGAAAAAGGAGGAAAACAACACATAAGCAAAACAAAACAATGAGCAAAATTCAAGCTAGGAGAATGAGTCAGGCATGTACACAGCATGGTGCCAAATGATTTAAAAAAAGGAAAAGGGGGCGGGGAGGGACGGGACATGCTACGGAAGGAATAAAAAATAAAAGCAACCCCACAAGGTAGGTCTGCACGACAGAAGGTCTTCAAAGAGACTGCGGAGGAGGGGGTCTCGCCTGCGCTCTGCGCGGCTCGGCGGGATCAGAGCAATGCTGCATGTTTGACCGCGAGGCGCGAGGAGGGGCCGGGCCCCGCACTTACATTGCTGGCTCGGGTCCGTGTCCGTGGTCAGCTTCACGTAGTTGGACGGGAAGAGCCCCACGTGCCCGCCGACCTCGCCCTTCCACCAGTCGGGGTCCTCCTTGCTGAGCACATTGATGATCTGGCCCTTGCTGAAGGCCAGCTCGTCGTCGTTCTGCGCGGTGTAGTCGTACATCCCGATCACCTGGCACACTGCGGGGAGGGCGGGCGTGAGCGCTCGGCACGGCTCGGCACCGGGAGCCTGCCCTTTCCCCAGAGGATGGGCTTCGTCCGGTGTGAGCGACCGAGCAAGACCAAGGACCCAAAACCCAGACATCGGCACCATTTCACATGATGCTTCCGTTTTTCTAACATCTTCCTCTTGTCACGTTCACTTGTCAGCACAAAACGCAGTGACAGTGGGAGGCGTGCGTGGACGGCCCCGAGCAGTGGGACCCCTCAGACGGGGCCTCCGAGCCGGCCACGGGCCCGGCTGGCCAGGGCTTCCCACAGGGCTCTCTGTGGGCTGTTTGCTGTTAAGGTGGAAGGTAATGACCATGTGACCTCCAAAAATGCCAGACCTTAGTGAAAAAGTCTACTGTTTTATTCTCTGTACCTTTGCACCTCAAAATTCTGTATGAAAGAGAAATGTCTGCATTCTAGAATGTTTCGTGCCTCATTCCCTAGAGCAGCGGTTCTCAACCTGTGGGTCTCGACCCCTTTGGCGGTCGAACGACCCTTTCACAGGGGTCGCCTAAGACCATCCTGCATATCAGATATTTACATGACGATTCATAACAGTAGCAACATTACAGTTATGAAGTAGCAACGAAAATAATGTTATGGTTGGGTCACAACATGAGGAACTGTATTAAAGGGCCAGAAGGTTGAGAACCACTGCCTAGAGGATAAACTGCTTTCATTCTCTGCATGTGGACCCTACAGGGTAGTCTGCAGAGTTGGGCTGGAGCCCAACTGATCTTTCGTAACCAACTTGCATGTGGGTTAAGGTTTTTCAAACTCTCCAGCCAATTCAATTGCATCAGCAAATTAGTTCTGAGGTTTCAACCCACCTGATGCAGGGGACGCGGCCAGGCCTCCCGCGGGGTGGGGGGTGGGGGGGACCAGCTGGCACCGCACCCCTCTGCCCACACAGAGCCGCAGCCAGGAGGCCCAGCCGGGGCCGGAGTCGGTCACAGCGCCTGCCAACCCTGAGTGCTGGCCAAGGCCGGCCCGTTTCCATCGCGTTCCCCTGGCCACACAGCACACGCAGCCACGGTGCCGGAGCGGAGTCTGCCTCTCCCACCACTGGGGCTTAGAGCCCTAACGTAGATGCCGCTCCCCTCGCCTCACCCGCTCCAATGCCACTGCAGCATCTAATCCGATCTCTTCAATCAGGAAACAGCCGGCCGCCCAGCTGCGGAGCCCTGTCCCTGGTCCTTTCAGGGAGCCAAGCCATCCCGCCCCCACCCACAGGAAAGGTCACGGGGAGCTGTCTCCCTACCGCCAGCAGGCCTGGCCTCCAGCTCCAGCGCCCCTCCTCGCCAGGCCCCAGCCATTTGTATTCACAAGTCCTCTCCATCCCTCACCCCCGGGCCCAGCTGGAGGGGATCAAGGGCACACGCTGGCTCTAACACCACAGCCTTCAGGCCGGCGGCAGGGAGAGTTCCGACAAGGGCTCTGCTGTGCACAGCACAAAGCTGCTTGACACTCGGTCCTTTAGGAAAACATACTCCGCGTCGCAGGACAAGGAGCCCCTCCGCTGATGGCCCTGCGCCTGCTCAGGGACCGCGGGGGAAGGCGGCGAGACGCAGGGATCTGCAGTGGGGACGGGAGAGTGCTCACCTGCCTGGAGTGCCGGGGGCTTGGGCGGCTCCGTGGGCGTGACCTTGCTTGTCCCAGGGCTTAAAAGTTTTACATAATTCGCAGGAAACCAGCCTATCTGGCGCTTTTTCCCACGAGCCTAAAAAAAAAAACAACAGTGGCGTCAAAATGTGTAAAAGGTTCACGTTCTTTCATGACGTGTGTGCCCTGTGACTGGCACCCGTACAGGCACGCAGAGCTGACAGGCGAGCAGCGCGCAGTGGAACCCCTGGGCGCACATTGCAAACCAAAGACACTGGGGCCAAATCCAGCCGCGGCAGCAAGTCACTGGTCAGCGGCCGGAGGCTGCTGCAGGGCTGGCCGCAGGGACCACAGGCAGAGTAGAGAGCTGTGGGCCGGCGGGCGGAACATTGCGCATGGGCGCCTGCCTCGGCTCCTGCCATCAGGTGAGGCAAGACTGTGTCTGAGCCCTGGCGGGTGGCTCCGCTGGTTAGAGCATCGGCCCGATACACAGGATGCAGGTTCTATCTCCGGTCAGGGCACAGCCCCGAGCCAACCAGTGAGTGCGTAAGCGAGTGCATGGACCAACAAATCCACGATTCTCTCTCCCCCTCTCTCCCTCCCGTCCTCTCTAAAATCAAAAAACTTTAAAAAAAAAAAAGTAGAAACAGAAAGGTTATGGCTAATGTCAACACGATGTGCGGGCTTTAGGAACAATAATAGCGTGGTGTGTTGGGTGCTTTTCATGAGCGAGGCCTGTGCCAGGCACCTCCTGTGCATGAATCTGCACCGTCCACAGGACAGTGGTGACTCAGGGAAGCGGAGTGGCAGTCCCTAGGTCCCAGCTGGCGGCGAGCCAAGCTTCACACGCACGTCTGCACTCCCCTAGTGGAGAACAGGCAACCGCAGAAGCAAGACCCATGCACACACAGAGCCCAAGTCTAAACTGGACACTGTTCTCAGAACCCAGCGGCCCTCGCCCTGGCTGGTTTGGCTCAGTGGGTAGAGCATCGGCCTATGGACTGAAAGGTCCCAGGTTCGATTCCAGCCAAGGGCACATGCCCGGGTTGTGGGCTCAGTCACCAGTGGGGGGCGTGCAGGAGGCAGTCAATCAATGATTCTCTCTCATCATTTATGTTTCGATCTCTCCCCCTCCCTCTCCCTTCCTCTCTGAAATCAATAAAAATATATTTAAAAAAAAAAAAAAAGAAAGAAACCAGGTACACGGCCACGCCTCTCCTTCACTCTGATCTAATTCAGCACAAGATCCGGGACCGAGTGCTCACAGGCGTGTGGCCCAGAAGGACTTAGAGTCACGGCGGGAGCCAAGGCTCGCAGTCCTGACTAGTCTATGAAAGGAGGAGACCAGTCGGGTCGGGAGAAGTGCTGCATCGACTGACACAGAGGCCAAAACCACTCACACGCATGTGCGCGCGCACACACACACACACACACACACACACACACAAAAGTCCTATGAGGCAGAGGTGGCTTTGAACACACAGAACCTGCAGCTGGACCTACGGCCCGATGGAGAGCTCCTGCAGGGGACCCTCTCGCTAACTCTCTGGCCCAGCTCTCACCAGCTGAGTCAGGAACCCAAACCATTTGTATCATCTTCAGAAGAATCCTGCTGCGGCGGGTCGAAGCTCAGGTACCCAACAGATGCCGACACTACGGCGCATCTCCCGCTACTCAAACGCAGGGTCACTCTGTGACGAAACAGTGTCCTTTTGTGACGGTGTAGTCCCACCCGGGCAGGAGTTCACACCACAGGACAGGCACCCACCTGCAGCTCTCCTTCCCACCATCCACCTGGGTTCTTTTTTCGGATCAGAATCAGCTGGCCCGGGGCCAGGGTGAGCTGCTCAGGACCCGTGGCCGTGTAGGAGGCAATGACCTGGGCTATTTCTGGAAAACAAGATGAGACACGGCGCACGGTCAGTCAGGAGGACATTCTAAGGAGACACAGCCACCCCCGGCTCACAGGTTCACACCATCAAAGCCAACCTCGGGGCTTGTCTTCTTCCAAGGGAAGGCGCACCCATCGCCCATCCCAGGTGACGTGGAAGGACCCAGTCACCTCAGAACTTCCCAGCTTCCTTCCACAAGCTGCCCCCCCAATTCCAGCACTTTCTGTGCTAGCCCCTCCCTCAACAGCTGGGCCTCCTCTGTCCCACGTGCCCTCTGCCCGCCCTCTGCCCGCAGCACCGCCCACTCACGGACAGGCAAGCGACCAAGGGACACGGAGAGAGCTGCCTGTCTCCTGCGGGGCCCACTGGCGCCTGGCTCTGCCCAGTTCGGCTGCAGCTCAGGGCCGCACCCCGCCCACAGGCCGTGTCTGGGGCTCACATGTGAGAGTGACCCTGAATATCGGCAGGAATCGTGTCAATGCGAGTTGACTGTTTTTTGTTTTGAGATGAAGGACGAACCTGGAGTAAAGGTGTGAAGTTTACGCAAAAACAATCCAGCACAGAAAAATGCAAACAGTCCTCTCCCTGACTGGGCACGTCAGGGGGACAAGCCCAGCAGCAGCGCGGCGCTAGGAGGCCACGGTGCTGGGAGGCCACGGCGCTGGGAGGTCGGGCGCGAGGGCAAGACCCTTCTCTGGCGCATCCGCAGGGACTGCTTCCTGAACTTCTAAAAGCAACAGGACGCACTGCTCTCCCCTCCGCACGCGCCCGCCCCATCCTCTTCGGGGAGAGAGGGAGAGAGGGAGAAGAGGTGAAGCCCACCCTGAGACAGTATGTCCTCTTCCTCTAGAGCAGAGGTTCTCAACCTTCCTAACGCCGAGACCCTTTAATACAGTTCCTCATGTTGTGGTGACCCCCAATTTCATTGTTACAAATTGAACATAATTAAAGCATAGTGATTAATCACAGAAACAATATGTAATTATATATGTGTTTTCTGATGGTCTTAGGCGACCCCTGTGAAAGGGTCATTCGACCCCCAAAGGGGTTGAGACCCACAGGTTGAGAACCGCTGCTCTAGAGGCACACGAGCAACCCTAGCCCTGGCGACCAGAGCCCCGAGGCCTGAGCACCCCGAGGCCCGAGCACCCAAGGACTGGTCTAGATCCCAAGTTCTCGGTCTGGACAAATACAGGCCAGTGACCTATTGGCCTCAGATGTTCCTGCGCCTCCCAGGCCTGCGTGGCCAGCAGCTGCCCAGCCTCTCGCTCACCGTGTGCCTGAGCAGCCGGCTGCTCCAGGGCAGTGGTAAGCCCACCCTGCCCTGCAGAGGGACAGCTCAGAACAGACTCTTCCCCTCAGCCAGTGGTTCTCAACCTTCTGGCCCTTTAAATACAGTCCCTCACGTTGTGACCCAACCATAAAATTATTCTCGTTGCTACTTCATAACTGTCATGTTGCTACTGTTACGAATCGTCATGTAAATATCTGATATGCAGGATGGTCTTAGGCGACCCCCGTAAAAGGGTCGTTCGACCGCCAAAGGGTCGCGACCCACAGGTTGAGAACCGCTGCCCTAAGCAGAGACCTGAGGCTGAGAGACACCCCACGCAGCCTGAACCCCTCTCCTGGCAGGAGAGGCCCCCGCTGAGCACACACAGGGACACCCCCTGGCAGGGGGCCCGTCAGCCTGTGACCTCCTCAGGCTCAGAGGCGGGAGGACGTGCACACAGCCACACGCTTCCCACCTGCTCCCTCCCTCTCGCTTCCATGATAGAAGCTGCTGGTTGAACTGACGCTGAGGCGGAGGGAGGAGCTGGGCCTGACGTGCACCCGCGCGGCCCTGCGCCTGGGACCTGCACTGACCACCGTGTCCTTTGCTGAGACACCACTATGGCCCGGCTTCCTGAGCCCAGCGAGGGGGACCCGCAGCTCACAGCTGCCCCCCCCCCATCTGCGGCACCGCTGCCTCGCGCCCCGCAGCACAGCTGTGGGGTCCCCGGCCCCCGCAAGTGGAGCCACGGCCATCTCACAGCCGGTGCAGGAGGAGGCTCCCAGGAGGGCCTGCCATGCGGGCTCCTGGCCCCAGAACCAGAACCTGGGAGCGGCTGCCCAGCACATTCCCGGCCCCGAGAGGGAAGCGTGGGGGGAACTTACCAGGCTTTTTTCCTAAACTCCCTGCTTTCCCAGCAGTTCCAGCGCCCTTAAAACAGAGCAAAAGGTCTCATTTGCATACTGCAGAGTTTTGGTCATGCAACTTAAAAACGATTAACGGTGACACAGACCCGCTGAGCCCCTGAACCCCCCCTCATCCCGGAAACAGAGGCACTGGGTCTCCTGACGGGGAGGGGGGGGGGAAACACGGGAGAACACGGGGCAGAGGACGCACCCCAAACACGCAGCCTTGACTCTCTTCTTGGAGAAGAGTGCAGAGCAGGCGGCCTGCAGGCCCCAGGGGCTCGGGTCCCGGGCGGCACAGGCCCCTCTGTCCCGGCCACGTCTACCAGGCCCACGCGAGGCCCACGTCCTACACACTGTCTCATGCTTCCTGTTCACACGGTCAGTTATGAAATAGCTCACACTTAAAGGGCACAGACATCCGTGAGCCCAATGCCCAGATTTAATACATGGCAATAGTAATATTTTGCTACATTTCCTTTAAAAAATAAAAAAACTATAGTGCCAAGTCAGACACCCCTCCCCCACCCCACCTCCTCTCCCCCTAAACCTCTCACCGTTTAAACTCTCCTTTCTCTCTGAACTGGACGCATCACCCACATGAGCAGAACATGTGTTCCCAACTACAAAGCGTCCCAGAGCCGGGTGAACTCCTTCATGGACGCTCATGGCGTTTCCAGCCAGCAGGGCTGCCCACGGAGACCTGGGGCCGTGCCCAGCGCTTTATTCTGCATCTCTCTGCCTTCCCCCTCTCCTCACAGTGACTTACTCCAGTTAGAACACCAGGCTCAGCACACGTAATGAGGCACCGTGAGTGAAAATCTGTAACTTCTCTACAAGGGACCCAGCTGCCACCGTCCCTTCACTTCGGCTGTTGAGGTCTAACAGCCGTTTTGCAGGGAAAGCTGGTTAGAGTTGTGCTCCGAGGGTGCTTTCTGTACTAACAGGTTACATGTAGCAGCTCCCTTGCTGTGTCTATAGGCTGCGCATCCAAGGAAGGGACGCGGTGGGAACGCCCAGTCGCCTTCCAGGACAGGCCTGTCGCTAACCCCCGGACTTCCCGTGGAGAGGACAGCGCCACGGGCCACGCCCACAGGGGCTCGAGTGGCTCGACGTGCTCCCGCTCCCTGTCCAGGCTCTGCCCGCCTGCCAGGCACGAGGCCCCAGGAGAGCAGCCCCGCCCACAGCCCCGGCGGCTCTGGAATCGGGCTGAGTCCGGCCTGTAACTGGAGGGCGTTCCCTTACCCGCTGAACTATGTCCACGGAGGGGGATGAGCTGACGTGGTGAGTCTTTCAGTGTGAAGTCATGGAGCTAAAGGTCCCAAATCTTTGGCATGGCTCGCTCTCCCAGGACTAATAATTTAAGAAGCACCTTACAACTGATCTTTTCTTTAAAAAATGTCAGTGTATTTTTTTACTGACTGGCTTCAGGTGGTGTTCTATAGAAAACTACTTTATTCAAATGTAAGTAATGGCTTTTGCTTTAACTAATCCAAAAGGTGAAGTCACTTTAAAGGTTGTGCAAGGTAACAGAAAGCAAGTTTAGTGTTTAGGGCCCCTAAACACCCCCACCCCCCAAATATCATCTGCGTGACGCTGGGGACCCAGGAGCCGCTGGGCTGTCCCACAGGGAGGGGGCTTGCTTTCCGCCTGTGGATTCTCAGACCATAGCAGGGAACACAGAGCAAGGACGGTCAGGAAGACCCGGCCTAGAACAGCCGGAAGCTATTCCTGGGCCCGAGGGGAGGGGAGGCTGGGGGTGGAGGCTGCAGCGGTCACCAGGCCCAGCCTTACTCCCAGGGCAGCCGGGCTGCGGAGGCTGGGACCCCTCTCACCCCCCACCCCCACCCCCAGCTTCGAAGGTCACAGAGAGCTGTGTCCACGCTGATCGCTGGGGAGGGGGCCCTCTAGGTGCCGATGGGCCTCCGCCTGCATAAGCACAGGAAGCCCGAGGAGAGAGGGAGCGTAGCTGAGCTGACGGCCGGTCCTTGCTGGTCTGTGTATGAGCAACGCTGTCCATTGCATGGACACCCTGAAACCCTTACACAAACGTGAAACTGTCCCCCACAAGGTCGAGGTGGGCTCCCAAACCCGGCAAGCCCCCCCCCGCCCCCCCCCGTTTCATTAAACTCATAGCATCTCAAGACCAGTTTACGCCACTGAGCTGTCAGAGCTTGTGGAGCCCATTTAACAACAAGGGGGCCACTTCCCACTTATAACAGCATGAGAATAAGCTCAGACCCTCATCAACAGAGACACTAAGGCCAAAAGCATGACGATCTCTTGGATCTTGTGTCTTCCTACTGTGTCGGCAAAAATGTCAGCCTTAGAAGCTCCACGGCCGGTCTCCCGGGGCAGGGTCACCCGGACACCTCCCTTCCACGGCCAAACACTGCTGGGCCCCCTTCTTGGGGCCCCAAATCAGTGGCGTGAAGACCTGATTAAGAGCGTTACTCTGAGTCCGACATGAGTCCACGCAGGAACGGGGACACAGTTACCCCCGCTGCTGCGGGCGCCAGGTACGCAGCCCCGTCAGCCTGGGCCGTTCTCCGCCGGTGGGAAGCCAAGGCTTACCGGGCAGCACCAAACGGCAAGTTCAACATGACAGGTCACACTGTCTCAGCTGCCACATTGCAGAACTTAGCCAAACCCAACCAGTGTTCCACCGGCCAAGGTCCGAGCCCCCCTGCGGAGAGAATACTGCACAGAGAGGGAGGAAACAGTTAGCGGGGTTTACCTCTGCATCTTTAAGCCTCACATAGTTAGAAGGGAAGACTCCGGACTTGTCGCCCACTGTTCCTGTCCACCAGTCACCATCTTTCTTGGTAACCAAAATCACATCGCCTTGCTGGAAGGTTAAATCGCCTTGCTCAGCGCTCTCGTAAGTGTACATGGCAATAAACTCTGGTGGAGAGAAACATTGAGACACGGAGAGAGCGTGTTTACAGAAGTCCCAGACAGCTTGGCAAAAGAAAGTTCATGAACAAGGAGGTTAGAAGAGGAGCATTCAAGAGAAAGGCTCATCACAGATAAATTACCGAGTTCCAAGGCACCCCTGGCTACACACCTCGGCTGCACAGGAAATGCAGGCCCTGCAGGGACAGAACCCCAGCAGCCGAGCGTGCGCTACAGTGAGGCATCATGGCTTCTTCCAAATGGAAACACTGCTGCATTTTCTCTGAGTTACTGAGCACTGGACCTGCGGCTCCTGTGTGCCCAGCAGATGTCTGAGGGGACCCAGTCACAATTCTCGTAAACTTTTAGATACAGTAGTATGTCCTTCATGCAAATCAAATAAGGCACGCTTTTCATTATTCGGGGCCTGAATGAAAATTTTTGTCCTACTGTGCCATACACTCAAATGGCAGGAAGCTGTTAGAACACAGAGTAAAAAATACCCATTATTTCATTAAAGATGGGCATCTAGTTGTCACTCAAGTGCACACGGTAGAAGGGTTTCCCCGAGGAAGCCAAGCCTGGCAGCTTTAGGAAGGACGTCCTTTCCCATGAGCATCGTCCTCTTTGGGTCTCTGTTCTGACCTTCCCTTTCCATTTTGCTCAGTTACTTGTGCCTCAGCTCACGTCTGGCCACCTGAGATAGGTCCTCGGCAAGCAATGCTTTTCCCAGTGATGATAAAAGCAGTGTGTGGCCAATCCCAGAAATAATCGAGCCTTTTTGAACCAATTGAAGAGAAAAATCAGTTTCTTACACTTTATTATTCATGTAATTTCGTCTTAAGAATAAGAGCTAATGTTCTCTACTGTCTTGAGCGGGAAGGGAGTGTACTGCGGAGGAAGTTCTGCTTTTTAATTATGAGCAGCTTAGAAACCACGTCACATGCTAAGAAGGATCACCTGGCACAAATTCTAGACGCTAAACTAAGTGCAGGGCAAAAGATTTTTCCTACCTTTGCTCCATTTACCCTAAGCATTTATATATTTTTAACCAATAAAAAAAATCTGTACCCCAAAAGTACACTTTTATGATGGACACTGTGTGTTCCTTGCTAGAACTTCGGGTGACGCCTTAATTGCCGAGCCTGGCGCTAACCAGCAGGCAGGGAACTGGCGGGGAGGGGCCTCGGCAGGAGGAGGAGCTAAAGCCACCACCAGACACGGAGCCCCACTGCGCTCCTGTGGGCAGCTCCACGTGTGGGAGGCTCCAGGCTGCTTCACCTCCAGGCTCTGGCCGCGGGCCCACGGCAGACCCGAGGCCCCCGAATGTGCCGGGAGAGCAGGGGGCGCCCTGTCTTTAGCCTTTGGTGCTGGCAGCGCCTCCTCCATCGTTCAAACTGGAGAAATGGTCCCACGGGAGGAAGCCAAGTTCGGAAGCTTTAATAGGACGTTCTTTTCCCGTTAGCACAGTCCTCTTTGGTCTCTGTTCTGACCTTCCCTTTCCACTTTGCTCTGTTCCTTGTGCCTTAGCTCATGTCTGGCCGCCTAAAATAGGGTAACCACCCCATGTCCTGCCGCTCCGCACGGTGACGGGGCAAGCAATGCTTTCCCAGTGGTCCCTGCGCTTAAAAGGCACTTTCTCCAAAACGGACCCAAATTTTGAAGTAGCTCTCAAAGTGCCTGAGAAACTTCAGCAGCACGACCCCGGCTGCAGTCAGCCGTGCAGCGGGTGTAGGGTCCGGAGGCGGCGGCAGCACGTGGCTGCCCTCGCCCTCCACGCACAGGGACCTGCGGGGACGTGAGGACTCACAGTGGCACCCACCCGGACCCTTCTGGACATTTAACACGGGTGCTGGCTGTCCCGAGGCCACTATTTTAAGACCTACCCACACTGGCGATCTATTTAATCTGGCTTAGGGTCTATTTAGATTTGGCGATGTTTAATGCAGTATAACAAGCAGCCCATTCGTATTGGTGAGAGCTCTTCTCAGAATCTCAGAAGCCAATGTGCTCCCGCCCGAGATGCCAGCACTCTGCCAGTGCTACGCGTTTCTAAATGCAAATCATCTCCTGCAGATGGAGCAAATGTCACCCCGCGCTCGTATGTGTGGGGCTCGGCGGTGACCTGCTCACTGAGGCCTCTGTGCATGTCTCATCTGCAGCTGCGGGCGCGCTCCGGCAACAACCAGGAAAGCAGCAAAAGGGGCCGAAGCAGCAGACGTCACTGACCTTAATCTCAAACCCTCACATGTGATCGCATAGCCCTGCCGATCTCCTGCTCCCGCTGCACACTGAGGAAGGGGCCAGACCAACACTGTAAGGTTACCAGGGGAGGGCGCTCAGTGACGCTCAGCTGGCATCACACCCGGAACTTGGGGAGTGTGTAAGAGCTGTTTGCCCCGTTCTCCTAACAGTGGATAAAGAAACCATTAGGCTGATGAGCGTGGGTACAGAGAACTATGCTGCTGATTGTTTTGGTGGTAACAGAAAAAAAAAAAAAGGATGCACTAAAGCGCTGCTGTGTTTAGTGACGAGCTTCTATAACTAACCTACACATTTAAAGAAATGTGCCTCTAAAACTCCTCTTGAAAAAGTCACTTGGTGACTGTGGGTCTGAAGTATCATTAACCTTAATCCTTGCTGTCTCCATGGAAACAACTGCTTCAATATTCTGTTTTTCATAAGCCAAGGCCCCCTAGGAACACAACCATCTCCTGATGGCACACACGCTACATAAACATTCTGTCCTCCTCTCACGTGTCCAAGGGGCCCAGGGACGTTTACTATGCAGTTGGGTAGACACTGGGCAGCCACCAACGCTGCTCAGAGCGGCCATGAGGGCCCGGCTAACGCAGCAGCACTGACACTTAGAGCCCGACAGGCTGAGGTTTTCCCGCGGGAGCCTGCATAAGGCGGGCTTCGTTCACTTTTAAACCCGCGTCAGGTGGCGGCCCATGCATCCTTAGGGTTATGTCATGAAGCAAAGACCAGGAAATAAAGCACTCGCTTGTTATGTAATAAAACGCAAAATGCAACTTTAGGCCTAAATAAGCTGGTGTGGTTACTTCCATGGAACCTGGAAACTGAACTTTGGTTCCATCTGGGACAGTACAGGTGATGGTGTCGCTGGGACAGTTTGCGGACGGGGAGCTACAGTTTAACCTCCTGTCCACGTCCAGAGCAGCCATGTCTACAATCAGCTGCCAACGTGCTCAGAAACCTGACCCTCCGGGACGCTGATGGGCTCTTTCAAGAGCCAAAGGGCTCTAATCAAACATGATGAGAAAATGCAGTTTTATGATCAATGCATCTGACAGTATTTTGAAAGTCTCCATAAAGAGCTACTTACCTTAGAGGTTCATCTACTGAACACAAACGAATGCCGTCTGTTTGGAAGGGAAACCCAGGCTGGTCTCGCACACTGGCTGCAGGTGCTCCCAGCTGCCCGCCCCCAAAGGGCACAGTTAGACTCGGGCTCTCACCTTCTCCCGAGAGGGCCGGCTTGGCCGCCGGGGAAGCCACTCGCTTTAGAGGCGCAGGGCTGTCTGAGGAGCCGGAATCCGCGCTGAAAGAGGGGAGGGGAGAGCGTTTCAATTTTTATCTTCAAAGGAAATAGTATAAGACACTGATTTTTCTTTTTTAAAACTTTAACATTAAACACTGCGAACAATCTACAGCTGAAACGGATGCACTCGTTAAGACACGCAGGGCGCTCGGGCCCCGATTCCAAGCTCACACTCTCTTCTCAGCCCTTGGCTGTGTGGGACACGCAGCCAGCGTGCGGGTCTGTTTCAGAGCCTGGCTGATAGACGCTCAGCAGTATGTTTGCTATTTTCTCTTCTTAAAACTCATGGCTTGTGTTTGAACACCCACGTGGCTGGGATAATTAGACAACCACCTTGCTAGGAACCTGGCAACAAGGCTCCTGGTGGGAAAGACAGTCCCTCTCCCAGGCAGCGACCGAGGCTCCGGGCCTCTGCGCTTCACTGCGTGTCTGAGGACCGCGACGAGCTTGGGAGAGGCGTGATCGCCCACAGGTCTGCAAGGACGTCACCCCCAGACAGAATCCTCTCGCGGGAGTTCATGGAGCACAAGACTCCCAGGCTCCCCAGGCAGGACAGGAGCATGTATCTCTACGAGGCCGCCCTCATGGTCACATGGCCCCAACTTTCACGGTTAAAGGACACGGAGGAACCCGAACTACGCGAACAGTAACCGAAAGGCTAACAGTGTCTCCTCGACTAGAAGCAAGTGACACAGAATACCTGGCCGCCTTCCTGGTGGGCCCCGAAATGAGCTTCACGTAGGACTTGGGGAACCAGCCCTTCTGGCCCTGCACCTCTCCAAACCACCACATGTCCTGCTGCTCCAGCACCGTGATGACGTCGTTTTTGTTGAAGTTCAGGTGGTTGTCCTTCTTGGCTCTCCAGGGGTACAGGGCTTGCGCCTGCAGCCCCTCCACCTTCTCACCCTGTGGGGGCGACACAAGGACCCTCGTCACAGTGTGATCTGCGCGCCGGCACCTCGTCTCCAGGGAGCACCCCGGGCCCGCTGCAGACAGCAGGGTTACAGACACCTCCGTTCTCAGGAATTGTTTGTTTCCCAATGTGGCGGCCAAAGCTGCTGGCCGCTCCCGAAGCCACTGTCCGGCGTGGAGAACTCTCCGCTTCAACAAGCCGGAGGTCGGGTTACGCTGCTGCCTGGCCCGTGCCTTCCACATTCTGGTTCGATGTTCACGCTCGCGTTGCCCGGGTGCCCCCACCACATCCAGGCTGACGGGATGTCAGGGAGGCTAACACTGGAGCAGAAGCCCTAAGAAACCCCAACGGGTGAGTGACTGGCACCTCAGTCCAGGGGCCTCACGGGACCCTGCCAGCTCCCGTCCCCTCTCAGAACAGAGGCCTGGCGAGCCTGAGTCCACTGCAATCGCATTTACTGGCCATCCCTCTGCAGGACATAGGGGTCACCACAAGGACGGAATGCCAACCTGCCTCCCCAAAGTACCTCGGGGTAAGACCCTTTATAAGCTGTAAAGTGCGATAAAAAGGGACAGTGTGGCACTAAAACCCACAATTCACGGGGAAGAGAGAGACGCAAGCAACTGCGAATGCCCCCTGGCAGGTGGCACAGAGGCTCCAGCTGGACACAGTGGGGGCAGGGACGGTGGGGACAGCAGGACAGGGCAGGCACCGGGCCTGAAGCACAAGGATGCAGCAGCCAGGGCTTCGGAGGACGGGCCCTCCAGGCCTCGGGGTGCAGCTCTGCAAGGGGCCCAGGAGGAGGGGCACCACCCGGGGCCTGCAGCCTCGGTGCCAGGGGGCGTGGGAGGAGCCGAGGCTGGAGAGGCAGGGAGGCACTCACTACCTAGTAAAGCACAGAAGCATCATAGAATCTTAAACCACAACTGACGGGCAGTGCCTTTACCCTGCCACCTCCACCCCACTGTGCAGAGCGCTATGACGCTCAATAGTGTGCGGGGCCTCTCCCGCCCCCGTTCAGCCCCGCACTCCTCGCCTCCCGAGGCTGCCGCAGGAGCAAGGCCCCCTTCTCTCTCCTGCGTCTTCCCCCAGCCCCCACCCCTCCCGCTCCCGGAGGAGAAGACCGGCTCCTTCCTGTGTTAGTGTTTCCAGCCCTGCAACTATGTCCTCCTCTCCCCCCTGTTTAAGACGCCCCTCTGACCGGCCAAGCGGGAGGTCACCCCCTTGCTAGTCACACCCCCAGGCTCCCGAAAGGCGGGTGGAGGACGGAGCTGGGCGCATCTGATGAGGCTCCTTGTAAACAGCAGCCGCAGGCACCTGCTGACCTCGTTGGTCCCCACAGCATGCCCCCCCCATGCCCCAGTCCCCGCAGCAT